CAGGATTGCCCCCACCCTCCTTCTGTCCTGCTGGCCAGAGCAGGCTGGGATGGGCTCCCTGCCGGGGACGCTCCTGCCCGGCCACTGCTGACAAGTGCTGACTTCTCCTCCCCCTCAGCGGCCTTCCTGAACAGGCTGCCTGTGTTCCGGGTGGGAGGGGCGGGGGGGGGGGAGGCACTGTGACGCCTCTCAGCCTGGCCAGCGTGGACGCCTTCGGGGCAGGCTGTGGGATGGGGCCTGGGGTGGCCAGGTTGGCTGCTGCGACCCGTGAATCTTCAGGAGTGAAGCTGCCACTACCTGGGCTGGGGAGTCCAGGCCTGCAGGGAGCGTCCGCGCCAGCCTAACCGCCTGACCACAGCCCGGTCAGCAAGGGACCCGCCAGGCCTCACCTCTGGCACAAGGCTGGCCCCAGAGGTGGGGAGCTTAAGGGTTTGGAGGTCGCTAATGCTTTTGTGCATCTGAGCAAAGCTTAGCAGCTTCTCCCAGCTCCAGCATAATCTGCAGGTAATTTTCGGGGCATATATACCTCCCCCTAATACTTTCTTCTACCTGCAGTTCTCTCTAAAAAAGCTGCCTTCCTGATGTGGTGGCCGGACCAGGGAGTGTCCCCAGAAGGCCTACAACAGGAATCTGGGGGAGGCCTCTTGACGTCTCATTAAAACATTCCGAAGAAAACCCGAGTTCCCGGAGGGCTCAGCACCCCCCTCCCTCTGTTCTGTCCACAGGCGTCTCCAGAGCTCAAGGAGCAGGAGGGATGTTTAAGGGCAGGTGGTATAAAAAGCTTCAACAAATCAATACAAGGACGATAAATAACCCACAGAAAGATGGGTGACGGCTCTGAACAAGCTCCCTTAGAAAATGGACCACAAACCAATGAAAAGGCCGTTGGCAACCGGCAAATTAAAATGTGAGAGACCCTATTTGCACCCATTAGAATGACAACAATGAAGAACGCATCTCTCAGAACAGTCTTTGCAGGCGAGGACACAGGGAGGAAGGCCCTTCTGGTCCCTCCTGGTGCCAATCCACACACGCCTTTGAGATGGCAATATAGCCATGTCTTTGAAAATGAAAAAATGTGCATGTTCTCAGTCCCCACAATGACAGAATCTAGAAATATCCTACCGGGAAATGGTCATCTCAGGACACGAGAGGGCATTTTTAAAGAGCTTCCTTAGGAAGTGTCTGAAACACACACACACACAAACACACACACACAATTTATATGGAAACCATCTGAATGTACACATTTCCAGAGACTGCTTAATTCCAAATTATGGAATCCTATGCAATATTTTTTTAAAAAAGTATTTACCGGCATGTAGACTTTCAAGATACCCTTTAAAAAAGTAGAAAACTGCACATGGCTGAACGCTACTTACTATAAACCACTGTCATTTTTAAGAAAACCAACCAATTAACCAAAGAAGAGACAACAGATCAACACTATCCACGTGGTACGTACACAAAAAGATCCCCTACCAAAACTCACTGCTATCAAGTCCAGCTCAAAAGCAGCCCTGAGATTCCAAGGCTATAAATGTACACAGGAGGCAAATAGCCTCATTTTCCCTCAGAAGAGCAAGCTATTGGTGGGTTTGAACTGCCAACTTTTTGATTAGTTGCTCGACATGTAACCTACTTTGCCACCTGGACTCCTTATACCATTTGGAAATACTGTCTGGTAAAATATGCCCTACCCTAAACTGTTCCAAATGGTTTTCCTTGGAAAGGGGAATGGGGACCTGGGACTGATCAAGGAAAATTTTTGTTTAATCTGTATTATTTGATCCTTTTATAAGGACATATTTGTATATTAGTTATGAAATTAAATAAATAAGAAAGTAAAATTAAAAGCAGAGTGATTTTATGGCGGGGGGGGGGGGGGGAAGAAGGGAAAAGAGAAGAAAAAAAACATGAAAACCCAGAATGGGTCAAGGGGTTTCTGGGCAGCCCTAGTCCGCCCTACTGTGGGGAAAGGGTTCTGAGCAGGAGTCTGAAGACCGGAGTTCAGATCCCGACTCTCCCACAGACTCACAGTGAGGACCTCAGGACCCATGCCTGTAAAAGAGGTGGGTCAACAGGTGGAAGAACAGCTTGGTGAGCTTCTAGCTCAGTGGCTGGGGGTGGCTGTTTTTCAAATGTGTTGACCCATTTCTGTCTTTTAAAGACCATGGAGGCTAAGCTGCCCCAAAAGTCGGCTAGGAGGGACTCACATCTTCGCATACTTCACACCTGTCCTGGGGCTTAACCCTGGGTCACACCTGACACTAGACGGCTGCTTGTGACCTAAGCCTCTTCCATACCTGTTTCCACTCCACACGTGTATATGCTGAGGGTACCTTTGGATGAAATATCCATCCTCCAAGGGAACGATTACAGTCCAGGTCCCTAAGTCACAACCTGCCATCTCCTCGCTTCCTCTGAATCTCACTCCTCTCCCTCTTTCTGCCCCAGTCTCCCAATTATTCTTCCTGTAAGGTTGAGATGGACAAGCCAAGGCCCTGATCCGTGTCCTTCCAGTGGGATGTTCTCTGGCTCCCGACCTGTGGGATTCTTGCAGATGCAAGCCTAGTCCTGAGCTGGCTGAACAAGTATTCAACAGATTTGGTGATGGAGGTATCAGCTGAAGCTAGTGGTCTCGTTGGGCAACGACACGAATCTGCATGGGAGCGGCAGCCCGTCTTGGGCTCGAGAGGGACCCGGCTGGCAGGCTGCTGGCCTCTCGGGGGTTCTAGCTGCGTACAAAGGGTCTGAGTGGGTGAACACTGAGTGGGTAAGCATGCTGCTTCCCTCTATTTTGAGCCCTGTTCTTTAGCCAAGAAGGATCGTCGCACTTAAAGCCAAAGAGTCTAGCCACAGACTCTCAGCCAGGTCTCTGGACAGTGAGCACAGTGGGGTGCTGAGGGCATAACCAAGATAAAGAGGGACAGAGGCTGACACCTGTGGCAGTGGATAAGTAAGTCATATATGTTGTGTGATTTGAGTCAAAATGAAGGCTTCCTCCAAGGATCGTTGAGGGGTTCAAGCTAGTTCTCACTGCCATTGAATTCCAACTCATAGCAACCTTCTATTGTGGTTTCCGAGGCAGTAAATCTTAATGGGAGGAGACTGACCGTCTTTCTCCTGCAGAGCCCACTGCGGACTGGAGGCTGCTAGAGACGTGCAGCCTTGAGGCTAGCAGTGCAACTCGCCAGAGACTATGCCACCAGAACTCCAAGCAGTTTCTGGAATGTAGAAGGTAGTAACCCCACAGTGGTGGAGCCCACGCAGACTCACTGCTGCTACAGAACGGAGCAGAAACCCACGGGTTTCCAACGCGGTACTTTCCTGAAACATTTATTAAATACAAGTAAGAAAACAATAGACCTGGGTGTGTTCCAGTTCACAAATGTACGTGTGTGGACGTACGTGCACACACACAATTCTCTGGCAAGTAAGACGCACACCTTGAGTTCACATTCACAAACACACATGCCCAGAGACTCCGAGGACTCTGACCTGGATCTTGGGACAGTCATAGCCACCACCCCGTCTTCCCTGACCGTTACATGTGTGTGCTTGTACACACACACAGACCTTGCATGCTGACTCTGCATGGCAGCCGTGCTGTCTCTGACAAAGACACTGAGCCTGGCCTGAGCAGAGGGTGGGCAAGTGGGTCCATGCAGTTTTCGGAGCCCCTCTGGACCTCCATTTGTTCATTAACCAGTCCTCGTTCAAATGGGAGGATGTCTCTGGCTTTAGGAAACCTTCGCCTGGGCACTGGTGAATGGAGGGGTCTTGGATCCTAAAGACAAGCGCGCCTCCTGTGAGGAGTTTCTTAGGCAAATGCTTCTTTCCTGCCTTCTTTTTACAGATGGGGAAAATGAAATGGTGCAGAAGGCAAGGTCAAGGTTACACAGACATCAGGCAGACAGAGGAATCTCAGCCCCCCATGCCTCCTGGGCTGGGACTCTGCCTTGGGCAGGGATCTGCCGCTAGTCAGAAGGAGGAGGCTGTCTGCCTTTCTCTTGGGTGTAGGCAGCGGCTCAGACCCTGAAGTCAGATCCACAGGCAGATAGGTTTCTTAGGAACAAGCTGTTCTCCTGGGACAATACGGCTATGGAATCTGACTGAGGGGATAGGGTACCCACATCACCATGGAAATGTTCCCCAGGCCCTGACCCAGGATGAGAGAGAGGAGTGTGGCCCTCGGGTCTCTGCACTCGGCCTCCATCCACTCTTTTGCTGTCCACCCCTCCTGCTCTGGGAGCCCTCATTCCTACCCCCTTTTGTCTCTGTTGCTTGCTGTCTTTTGGGGTTCCTCTCTCTCTTTCTCTCCACCTCAGGTGTTCCTCTCTTGGTCTCTACTTTCAGGGGTCTTTCCTGGCACTGACAAGAAGTTATCCCTCCAGGAGTGTTTTTGTGAGGTCAGTATCCTTCCAGAGACCTCCATGCCACACCACACCCACCTCCCTGGGCAAAGAGCTTCCACTTGGGGTACAGCAGTGCATGAGTGCAATTGTCAGAGATGGAGGAGATCCCAAAACCCTATCCCTGGGCTGGATGATTTTGACATTGGACCCACAGCCTCCTGTCCTGGACTGCAAACAAAACTTACACAAAACAGAGCTCCCTTCCACGCTCCCCCAAAACAGACCTCCACCAAAGACTGGTCTTCCACTAGATCATGCTGTCATCTTCCGCGGACACAGAGCCAGAGCCATCGTGCTTGCAGAAGCAGGAGGGACAGGAACTCCCAGCACACATTTCCAGACCTGGGGCCCCATATCCAGGCTGCCAGACGAGGAGACCTCAGGCATGTGGAAGTCCACAGTCCAGACACCCCGGAGTTAGCAAGCACGGAGGATCACGGTTCAGAGGCGACCCTACTCCCAAGTTCAGATAACTCGGGGACCCCAAGACTCAGCGCCTCTGGGACCCCAGAGCAAGCCTCACAGCCCCTTCCCAGGGCCTGGCCGGGCGGGTGTTTGTGTTGAATGCCGGCAAGGACTTACCAGCGCATATGCGGAGCTCAGCACCGGGCAGCAGAGCAGGAGCGCCAGGCCGGGCGCGATCCGGGCGGCCCCCATCGCCACCGCCTAGGGCCGCGTCCCTCGGGGCAGCCGCCGCCGCCGGCCCTGGTGGTGGTGGGGGGAGTACAGAGCTGCGTCAGGCAGGGGTGCCCCGCCCACGCCCCGGTCTAGGGGACCCCGGCGTCCCCGTGGCCCGAGGCCCCGGGGCCCGGCGCGGGGTCCATGCGCCGAGGGCTAGCGAGCGATGGAGCGCGAAGGAGGGAGAGAGGGAGGGAGAGAGAGGAGGGAGGCAGCCGGAGGCTGGGCGGGCGGCGGGCGGGCGCCGAGCGCTGCGGAACGGCCCGTCTGCCTCGGAGCAGAGAAATCACATCCATATGGCCGGGCCCCCCGCCCCCCGGCCCGCCCCCCGATCCCCCCGCGCCGCCTTTTCTCTTCTCTTTTTTTTTCTTTTGGGGAACTAGGAGCTGTGGCTTCGCCCCACGCCCAGCGGGGGAGGGGTCGGGGGAGGGGTCGGGGTCGCGGTCTGCGGGGGGCGCAAGGGACTGTTATTTTTAGCTCGGCTGCAGGCCACAGTGGGGGGGGGAGAGGACTTGGGGCGGGGCGGGGGGCGCGTTCTGAGCCGCGCAGGGCGTGCAGACGAGGGATGCGATCCCAACTTTTCAAAGACAGAGTCCCTGCAGTGTCTGGCCGGCCGCTCCCGGCCCCGCGGTCCCCCTAGACTCCCATCACTACTGTGGCCGCCTCCCGCACCCTGTCCCCATCCTGGGCCGGAGCCCCGCCTGCCCCGCGCCGCCTGCGCGCGCCTGCTGCCCGGCCGCGCTGTCGGTCAGTCCGTCTCCAGCTCCTCGGGCCTCGGCCTCCTTGCTTGCAGCGGCTCCAGCTTCGTTTTGGTCACTCCCTCGCTCTCCTTCTCCCTCTCTCCCCTCCCCCTTCCCTCTTTCTCTCTCTCTCTACGAAAACATTTTCAAGTTTCCAAAAAAGCCACCGAGCCCAGCGGCTCGGGGCTGGCGGCTCCACCAGGCTCCGGAGAGGCGCCGCCGACTGACACCGAGACAGACCAGCCCGGCCGCCCCGGCCAAGTCTGCAGTAGCCCCGACCCAACTCCGGCCCCTTTTCTCCTGAGCCGGCCCCCCAGCCCCGACTTACTCCGAGCGCGCCGCCGCGGTCCCCGCCTTGCCATGGATGTCGGGCTTGCCCCGACAGCCTCCCCAGGACAGCGCCCCGTCCGCAGCCCCGGGGGGACTTCATGGAGTCCTCGGGATGTCCCCTCGCCGGCCCGGCCTCCTGTGCCCCCCGCCCGGCCGCCGCTCGGAGCCGCCGCCCGCCGCGCGCGCGTCCCTCGCCTCGGCGTCTGCGCTCCCCTCCCCCGCGCCGGGCGCCGCGATCCTCCCCCGCGCCCTCCCCGGGCCTCTCGCGCTCCCCCTCCACCCCCGTTGCCTCCGACAGCGCTTTACGGAGGGCTCGGGGGGGGGGGAGCCCGCCGCCCCCCGGCCAGGGGCTTTAGAAGCTGTGGCCCAGGGTCGCCAAGCGGCGGGGTGTGATCGGAGTGTGGTGGGGAATGCGGCCGACGCGGCTCTGACATCGGCCCCGGAACGTGGCCCAGGGCGCTGCCGCCGCCGCCGCATTCTCTTTTCGGGAAGGCAAGACGTTATTTATTTATTTTTTTTTCTGATTGCCGGGCTCAGACCGGTGAGCAAGAGTCCTCGGCCGCGGAGAGGGCTCTTTTCCCGAGAGGCTGTTCTGGGGAGGCCGCCCGGGACCCCCGCGCGCCCTGGCCTCCGAGCTGTCTGTGCGCCCGGGGGCTCACCCACGGACTGGGGTCCCGGGGGAAACGGCTCAGCCTCCAGCCTCGAGCCTGGCTGTTCCGCCACCGCCCTCCTGCCCTGCCCCCCGCCCTCCTTGCCTTCTCGAATCTGAGGGTCCGCATAGCTTCAGATCTGCTCCCCCTTGCACCCTCATTTCTGCCTTCAACTCCTTTTCTCCCTCTTTTTGCCCCGGCCCCGGTTTCAATGCATCTAGTCGCCAACCCTGTCTCTCCATTCCCGCCTTTGCCACCCCACCCCGAGACCGCAGACCCCAGAGCTTATTCTGGGCCCCTGCTCTTAGGTTCTAATAGGTCCTCATTCCCCCAACCCCCAATAACATTCTCTCGGCCGGGGATGTGCTAGGAACCCTCGACCTGGAGGAGTGCAAGAAGGGCGGTGGCCTGCACTGGGCGGGGCCTAGGCCGGCGGGGGCGGGGTTTACATGCTCAGACGCGGTAGGGGACTCTGAAACCCTAGAAGGAGGGGGGCCTCGGGCTCCAGGTGACCTCCTATACCTGGTGGTGAAACTAAGGCACAGCGAGAGGCCAAGGATCCCTAGGTTAGAGGGTGAGAAGGGAGGCAGGCTTTAAAGATAATCTAACCAACCCATTGTCCTTGAATTAATAACAATTCTCGGTAACCTTCCATTGGTTTTCAGAGGCTGTTAATCTACAGAGAGCAGATTGTCCATCATTTCCTCCCCTCACCCCCCTCAGTGAATGGCTGGTGGGTTTGAACCATTGAACTTCCCGTTAGCATCCTAACACGAAATGTACTATGTTGAGGAAGCTGATTCCAGCCTTGAGTCCTGGAAGGGATGGTTTGTATTTGGTGGCAACTCCACCAACTTACTGGTTGTGTGTTCTGGGCTCCACAACACTCCCGCTGTGTAGGCCTCAGTTTCCTCATCTGTAAAATGAGGAAGTTGATTTGAAGCTTGCTAAGCAGCCAGAGGCAAAGATTGCAAGGCTTGGTCTTTGATGCTTTGGACATGTAGCTAGGCGAGGCTATTCCTTGGAAAGGGACTTCATGCTTGGAAAGGGGGAAAGTCAGTGAAGGAGAGGAAGACCCCCAGTGAAATGGATTTACCTAGTGACTTCAGCAACGGGTGTGTGTCAGAGATGGTGAAGATGGCACAGGCTAGGGCAGGGTTCAGCTTGGCTGTCCACTGGGTTGCTACGAGTCTTGCTCTACTTGACAGTACCTAACAACAACAAAAAGGAGGAGGTATCTCCATACCAGGAAGTATCAGCATAAGAGAGGAAGACCCGCAAGATGCATCAACATGGTGACTGTAACAACGGGCTAAATGTGTCAGAGATGATGAAGATCGCACAGCATAGAGCTGTTCCAAAGGAAGCTATGAGTCACAGTTGACTTGATGGCATACACCAACCAACCGCATGGTGGCATTGTGTGGTACGCGCTGGACTGCAAAGCAAAAAGGTGAGGGGTTTGAAACCACCACTGCTTAGCAGGAGAAGATGGGCAGAGATTTACAAGCTTTAAAGATTTACAGCCTCAGCAACCAGATTTTGGGGGGGGGGTCACGGTGACCAACTTCATGGCAATAAATGGTTTTGATTGAACTTTAGCTGTTTCTCTGGCTTCGTAGGCAGTCTGTAGAAACCATGGTCCTCAGGAATCCCAAGACCACCCTTCATTTTAGGCTGATCCCTTCCCTCAGTATGGATGGGTCTCCCAAACCTAAGGCTGATGAAGTCCAGCTCTAGTCAGCCTTTCTGGCAGCGCGCTTCTTCCAGACTCAAACACACCCATCTTTCACACTGTATCCACTGCATTCCCTATACAGTTGTCTGGTCGTACCCCTCCTCCGTGCCTGACTGCCCTCAAAGTTTCTTGACTTGGCATTCAAGGACAGTGTACAAAAATGACTTCCTTAATAATAGACACTGTCTACACCTTAGTGAGACTGGCTCAGGCCAGGGAAGGGTTCAGAGAGGCTGCACATAGGGTCGCTATACATTGCCGGTAACTCAATAGTACATAACAACAATAACATGCTATGACAAGTTTGGAAGCAGGAGTGGCATCCACTTCCTAAACAACATGCCTCCGGAAACTCTATGAGCTTTGAAAAATGTTGATAGTTGTAGAGGGGCTTCAGGCCTTTTGTTCATAGGGTTGCTATGAGTCATGCTTGACTTGAAGGCAATCAACAACAAAAACAACAACACCTTCCAGGTCTCCTCCATGTTCCAGTCCCACCCCTTTGCCCAGGTTTGCCCTCTTCTGCTGAGGTAAAAGGATAGTGCTCCTTCCTTGTGACCTCATCTCCTCCATTAATGGGCAGGGATTGTGATTTTGGGGCTTCTTACAACAGGAACAGGACCCAAGTGGCCAGAGTGGATACCAAAGAACACGAACAATTCCTAGGTTTTACATCTAACTTTATGTTTCTAAATGACTGTTTACAGATCATGACCATTGACCCCACACACCCTCGCCTTGGGAAGCCCTGGTGGCCTATGGGTAAGAAACTGTGCTGCAATCCCAAAGGCATGTGGCTCAAATCCACCAGCTCCTTCACAGGAGGATGGGCAGTCTCCTCCTGTGCAATTAACAAACCAGCTGGAGGGTCAGCTATGGGTCGGTTCTGACTCGACGGTATACAACAACCACCACCCCCACCTTGGTGATAGGAAAAGAAAATTCATGGAGGGTTGACATGAGGGGAGACTGGGGGCAAACTGGGGAGTGATGAGGAGACTCTTTCTCAGACCAGAAAACAGAAAGAGGAAATTGAGAGATAAATGATTGAACTTGGGAGACCAGGGTGGCCTGTGGACAGGTCACAGAGAAGGGTCTGGTGAACACCCGCGCCCTTAGCACGCTGGCCTAGCTGTAACTCTTGTGCCTCACCCCAGAGTCCCCTGCTGAACATTCCACTGCTTTAATGGAACTATGGAGCCCCCAGCTCACCCCCAGGCCTCTGGTTAAAATGCCACCAAGGGGACAATGTCACACATTAACTGGAATACCCCAGTACCTGGCAGCGTCAGCCTGCCTTTAGTCACAGGCAGGCCCCAGGGCCAGTTTCAGGTCAGTTTCAATGGAGTCTGGAAAGACCTGGCAGGTGGGCAGTGGAAAGTCAGTCCCTGTGGGAATTCCGCTCTATGATGCCCAGGCTGGGCCTGTAAAGAGGAGTTGGGGTGGCCGCTGGAGCTCAAGGCTGGAGCTGGAGCTGGACTCCGGCTCTGTCGCTGCTGGTGAGGTCGCGCCCGGCCTCTGCTGTAGCCACTGCCACTGTGCGTAGGGCTCCAGCCAAGGTACACAGACCCCGGGGCCAAGGTGGATACCAGACGCAAACAGGAAAGACAGAGGCTGGCTGAGCTCTCTGAGCTGCAGCCCAGCCCCACTCACTTAGACCCCCCTCCCTCACAAACAGGGTGCTTTCTGGAACCAATGACCCTCCTTGGTTTCTGAGTCATCGCATTCCCTAACACTTTGTCCCAACCCTACCCCCCAGTCAAGCCTGGAACCTAAGCTCAGCACTGATCCCAGACTGTGTCCATATTTAACACGGCCCCAGGCTGAGCCCTCATTCCAGTCTGACCTCTAACCCCTGACCGAACCCCGACATTGGGTTAAATATCTACTCAGGCCTCCCTTAATCCCAGACTTCTCCTGGGTTCCAGGCCACCTCTGGATGTTTTTTGAGGCAAGGACATGGTTGAAGAAGGGATGGCCAGGCCATAAGTGAAGTGAGGTGTCACTTTTACAGCCATTTACGCTGCTCATAAACACCCCCCATTTGACTGAGTCACCAGAGGCTCCTGGAGCGATTGGCCGTGTAGCCCCCTCCCCTTACAGCAGGAAACCAGGCATACTCACCTCTCAGGAAGGTGAAGTGAGGGAAATGGGAGTGCAAGGGACCAAGAGGCTCTGTCTCAGGCTGGGAATATTCCCAGAGAGGCCAGGGCGTGGGCTTCCTGGGCCCGCTGTCACGTGGTCACAGGCCCCCCGCTGTGGTAGTGCCAGCCCCACAGGTACCTCTCTATGGGAACATGCTTGGTCTGCCCAGGCACGATGCAGGTGTCTATGTGCTCTGCCAGTGTGGGTGCCACCTTGTCCCTGTGACAGCGCTCAGATCCCAGGGTGCCCTGCATCCCACTCACCTAGAGCCCATAGGGCCTTCTCGAGTGGGGCCTGAGGCCGCAGGATGAGCTCAGGTTGGCCAAGAGGAGGCCATAGACGGCCACTGAGAAGCTGCTATGATTCAGGGCCGTGCAAGGATGTTGCCTATGGGACAGAAGAAGGCCTGAGTCAGACCTTTCACTTGAAAAGAAAAATTAGTTATTTTTTAAGCTTTCCTCCGGCCCAGGACTTTGTCCTAGACTCCTGGTGGGAGAGGTATTTAGACCAGAGTGTGGGTGCCCTGGGCTGGCAAATCTTATGTCTGTAGGTCTGTCTGCCAAGTGCCCTGGTCCAGCTCAGCCCCTCCATGGTCCTTCCTCTGACCCTTTGAGTCTTTTCAACTAACTCTCCTTCCATCCTCCTCTGTGTCCCTGGCTACATCTGGCCCTGCCCACATCTCATGAATGTCAGGTGACCAGGTATGAGTGATTTAATTCCAATTTAAGACATCCTGAGAATTCTTTTTTTAGGGTTTTACAGAGTCTTTTTATCAAGTCTTTGACTCTTGGAGAATCTGTCTTATCAAGTCTCTTTTCGACCTTGTCTCATTTTATTTTCTTCTGCTGTTGCTGTTCTGTGCTATGGGATCAGTTCAGATGCACAGTTACTCTACAAAAGATCAAAACTCTGGCCAGTCCCACACATTCCCTACAATCTGCTGTACTTAAGGCCAATGTTTTAGTCACTGTGTCAACATATCCTGTCAACGTATTTCTGAGGAATTTGATGGCTGGTCGTACTCATATCACGTTGTTGTTATTGTTGTCATTGTGTGCTATAGAGTCAGAACCTACCCACGGCTGACCCTCCAGCGGGTTTTCGGAGGCAGTTAATCTCACGGAAGGAGATTGCCCATCTCATGAAGCAACTGGTGGCCTCGAACCACATGCCTTCAGGATTGCAGAGCAGCCTTTTGCCACCAGACACCAGAGCTCCTCATATCACATGCATCATATCATGCGCCATATCATATCACCGTCACAATCCTTGCTGTGCTTAAGCCGCATGTTTTTATGTGCTATGAAGTCAGAACTGATTCTTAGCTGACCCTCCAGCAGGTTTTCAGAGGCTGCAAAAATCACATAGGATGAGATTGTCCCTCTTTCTCTCCAAGATCACCTGGTAGATTAGAACAACTGTCCCTTTAGATTCTTACCCACAAGGTTACCAGATCTCCATATGCACAGCCCACAGCCGCTCCTTGCCCACTGGAATTTGAACCTCTGGCGTGAAGCCAGCCAGGCAGCCCTCTCTGACTGCACCCAAGTGTCCCCGGGTTCAGACCTGCTTTTGCACAGAATTGTGGATAGGCTGAACTTCCTCTGTGCGTCTGTAGAATAAGGGGTGGAAGAACCAGATCTGGATGCTAAGAAGGAAAGCAAAGGCAGACAGGGAGAAGGCGACCACGCAAGATCCAGACACTTCCCCCAGGGGTCTGGCGACCCCAGCTGGGGCTGCCCTTCCTCCTGAGCCCAGCTGGAGCTGGTTTGTGGCTAGAAGTCCCGGGCTTGACTTGACGAGGTGTAATGGTTCACGTGGCAGCTGCTGTTCAGCACATTCCGGCCTCAGGCCCCACTGCCCAGCGCCTGAAGCCACTGGCCCTGAACAACCCTTAGCTGCTGGAGCACGTTCCTAGGGCCCCTAGCGACCACCCCTTCCCAGGACTTCCAGGCTTCTGGGGTAGGCATTGTACCCTACAGATTTCAGAATTCTTTCTTGTCCACAAATTAGAAAGGGAGGCAAGGAACTTG